CGTGCCCGCGGGGGTGTCTGCCCGCCCGGCACGCCCTGCGGCGTTGCGCGGCTCCCGGCTCCGCGGCCGCGCCCGACCGACGCTCGGAGCGTGGCCGCGGCTGCTGCGCTCCGGCCTCCTGGCCCGGCGGCCCGGCTGGGAGGACCGGGACCGAGGCGATCTCCGGCCGGCGCCTAACACCTGAGGAAACTGGTGGAAAAGTTTGAGAAAGCGAAGTCCGGTCGGCTCGCCGCTTCCGCCCTCCCGGTGACGCGGGAAGGAGCGGGAAGCGTCCCCGCCTGACGAGCGCGCCGGCCGCCAGCCCTGCCCACCGGCCCGGCCGCTCGACTCCGCTGGCGCCCACCTCCTGCCCGCGGCCGTGCCAGCCTTCCGGCCCCGCTCAGCCAGCCCAGCCCAGCTGCCCTCGCCGTCTGCGCCTCCTCGCTGCCCTCGGGACCCGCGTCACCCTTCAGAGCCAAGTTGGACCGGAGGCCGGGCCTTCCCCAGCGGGGCTTTTCCTTTAAGTCAGAGCGATTCCTGGCAGCTGACTTCCTGGGTCTGGGTTTTAGTCCCTGACCTCTGCTTCCCTCCCTTCCTCCCCTCACCTGGTGCATGCTTCGCCGGAAAGACCTGTGCGCTTCTCCCTCCTACCCGCCCCCCCCCCCCGCCAGGCCTGCAGGGACGGTGCCCCCCCAAAGCCACTGAGGCCTGAGGCCTGGTGAGAAACTGGGGGTAGGGGGTGCTGTGGCGCAGGGAGCCGCTAGCTATTGGACCCAAACTGCCAGGCCTCTGGAGGGCTGCGCCAGCCCCACCCCTGTCCGGGTAGAGTGGAGAGAACTTGGCCAGGGAACCCCTCCTCCTCCCCTGAGACAGCTGATCCGAAGCCCTCTCCTTGGCTGTAAACTCAGAGCAGGGATTGTGACTCCTTTAACATCTTGTAGGAAGCACAGTACAGTGTGACTGATAAATAATACATAATAATCATCTACTGAGGGTTGCAGGAGGACTGTCCGTGACAAGGAAGGGGAACACCCGGGAAATGGCCCACTGGTGTCAGAGTGACTGCCGGGGGGGGGTGTCCAAATGAATGGTGTGGGGAGCCTGGGAGGGGAGGCGGACAGGAGGGGCGGAGCAGAGGGAGGACAGTGCCTGGGCTGCAGAGGGCAGGGTGGAGTTGGAGGGAGGAAAGCTCCCAGCGCTCCTGGACACCTGCAGGTGAACACGGATGCAGTTGGTGCTCCGTTCGTAAAATGGTGGTGAGAGGTGACAGAAGGTAGAAAACTGAAAGGCAGGGATTACTGGGGATTTAAAGGAGGTACACAGGTAATACTGGAAGCCATTCAGTGCAGAGAGAAGAACAGAGCCTCGGGCAAGAGTCTCCTGTAGGAAGCCGTCCTCCAGATGATCTGCGATCTTCGTGGGCTTCCTGCATGGCAGCTGTGGGCATTATGAAAGGGTGGCCAAGGTTTGCAAGCCTGCAGCAGGGAAAGACCTAGCAATCGGAGGCACTCCAGTGTCTTAAGATATTTTGACTCATCTTCAAAGGAGAGGAGAAAATACACACTCCAAGGATCCTTCCCAGGCTGCTCTCTAGGTGAAGATAGAAGAATTCCCAGTCGCCCTGCTGGCATTATCAGAGAAGACAGGCATGCATGGAGGATCCTCATTCGGAGCACTTCCTTTGCTGTGGTGATCCTGTGGTGATGTTACGGTTGGTTGTGGGGTCTGGATTGTAGCAAACTCTCCAGGTTTGGAGCTTGCTGACTGCTCCCTGGGACGTCAGCTTGTCCGGAGAATGAGAAAAGCTGTTCGAACTAGAATCACAGTGTGCTTGTCCATGCTGTCCTCACCCTACCCTCTTTTCATCCTCAGAGCCCGAATGCAAAGGGGATTTCTGAAGTCAGAGACCAGGTCTTTCTCTTCTGTGGAGTTCTGTCCAGTGCGGAGCTGTGTGGGGTGTGCTCCATTTCACCTGGAGCTCTGTGGCTCCTGCTGTCTCCATGCCTGCAGGCGTTGGGTGACGTTTCCTGGACTGTGTTGTGTGAGTGCTCTCCTGCCTCTGCCTACATGTTGGCTGTCTGGATCTCTTTGGGTTACTCCTCCTCCTGCTCTGTGTCCCATGGGATGCACTCCCTGGATCTCTCAGAATGGTCATCAGACCTGATGGGTGTTGCTCCCAGGAATCTCCTCTTCATGGTCAGATTCCTCCAGGAAGCACAGGCTCAGCTTCGTGGAGAGCACTCCAAAAGCTAGTGCTCCCTGTCCTGAGTCCACGCTGGGCTCTGGGATCAGACCTGATGTGTACACGGTGAGCAGGTGGATTATGAAGGAGTAGGCTTGTCGTGCATGGGAAGTAGCCTGGAAGGCTCCAGGAAATCCATTCCCTGCTTGGAGGATAGACTGTTATTAGTGGGGTGAAGCAGACAAGGGGTTTGTGCTGGGAAGGCCTTACTGTCATCTGGAAGGAGCCCTGTCGGGACTGCCTGAGGAGGGCATGCATACCAGCTCTGGCCGAGTGGACCTCTCCCCTTGTTCATATTTACAGCAGTGACCGCAGGAGCATGACCACTTACCCTGTGGCTGCTGCATGCCAAGCACTGCAGCAGGTACTCTTGCTCACAATATCTCGTCAGTCACCCCAGTAACCTGTACAGTAATCAATATCATCATCTCCCCAAACTGAGTCCCCAAAAGGGTCAGTGAGCTCCTACAGTCACTCAGGAACAGGTGACGGAGCTGGAATTTGAGCCTTGTCATCCTGAAGCCTGTTTTTTCACTATGCTTAACAAACCAATGCAGTTTCCTTTGTCATTGGCCCAGTGCCTTCCCCTTTCAGTACACACAGTGGATGCTGATTTCTCCTTTATCAGCAGCTGGTCCTGGACCCAGAACTGGAAATCAGCCTTAGAATACAGACAACCCCTGCCAGAGAGAGGCAGGCGTCCCTTTGATGACTGAAGGCACAGGTCACTTGGAAGAGTGGAAGCCTCATCAGGCTCCGTCAGGCTTGACAGGGCATCTGTTTGCTGGAGCACAGTGGATATAAGCAGAGCAGCTGCCAGCCTCTGCGTTGGTTGGGGTTTTGTGTTTGCTGCTTTGTTTGTCTAACGTTATTCTCCACTAAAACCACCCCCATTTGGCATCAAAAGCATTAATAAACCCTCCACAACCTACTGTCTCTCCTGTGGTTAATCAATCCATACAAATCTATTTAGCACCTACTGTGTGTCCGGCATTTCAGCCCCATGACATTGATTAAAACAGGAAGTAAGAAGTCACAGCCGCTGGGTTTTCACTGGGGCCCTGTTTTGTGATGTGTCACAAGGCACGTGCCAATCGCTTGCTTAGCCGTTTACGGTGACCCTCCTTCCTGCTGCGCTATGCTGGGGGCTCTCAGGAAGACAGGGTTGGTGTATCAGGTAGTTTAGGCTTCAGTCATTTCTACCCTGCTCACCCCCCCCCCCACAAAGTAGTGGAAACAGACAAGTAAAATAATTGGCTCTTGTTCTTGAAAAGGATTAAGATAACAATTATGTTGTCAAGAAATCTTACTTAGTTCTAAGTTTGGGGGAAAGGGTTCCAAGTACTGGGGAGTCCAGGGTCACCTATAGCAGGTAGGCTGCTCAGGAAGGCTTGCAGCAGGGGACAGGGCTCACACTGAGCTTACGGGTGAGGCAAATTTCTGAGGGAGGCAGAGGGACCCTGGACCAGGCAGAGGCCAGGCAGTGCTGGATGATGTGGCCCATCACTGTAGGAGTTTCGGAGACACACTTGTTAACAGTCGTTCCCTTTGGCTAAAAAGAAAGTGTGATTCCTGTCTTTCCCCAAATCATTGAAGTATTAGATTCTCAGACTCAGAGTGAAACCAGTGGCATCTTTTTTTGGCTTCTTAATGGTAGGGATTCAGCACCTTTTTTCAGTCCCACTTGTTTGCAGGTGGCAGGAGTGCTAATTAGAAAGAGCCACTCACACTTTGCCTGGGTGGCTCTGACTCCCAGACTGATGGAGATTCTGCCTGGTGTTCAGGAGCAGCTTCTACTCTCCCATTGCTGAGGCGACTCCTCGCCTTGGAGGTGCTCAGTGCACAGCCATTGGTTGGTGAATTGTTCATAGTGATCCAACCCCCACTGTCAGGCCCAGGAGAACCTTACTGTAGGAAAATGTGAGATAAAAATTCAAAATTTTAAAGCAGAAGACTTTACTACTTTGCATCCCAAAAGGACAGGGAGGCTTCCCTTAAGAGACGCTGGTCCCTGGGTGTTTAATCTGTGGCTGCCTTCCTAGAAATTCTGTTCACATTCAGCTGCTCAGAAACATCTTTGTTTATTTTTATTTATTTAAGACTTATCATTGACCTAATTCCAAGAGGTCTTAAGCAGCTTACAGGTTAAAATGCAGGCAAAAATAGGCCTGTGGGAATGAAACACAACACAAGAAAGGAGATGGGGCCACAACTAGGCTCTAGGGGGAAAAGGACAGATTTATCAAGTCACCTGACTGTATGGGAAGGCACATTTTTATCATGTGATAAAATGCTTTGCAAGAAACTGCTTAAATATCAAAGACTGTTACTGACAGAAGAGTGTACTATTGCTGAGATAAAAGGTTTCAGCTCTGGAATTTTGCAAACAAATGCTAAACATGGAAAAGTGTAATACTACCACAGGCCTGTATGTTGACATTTTTCTCTATTCAAAAACCTTTGAAAAATGTTCACCAGAAGATTTTCTTTTTTCTTTTGCTTTTCTTTCTTCTTTCCTTCCTTCTTTCTTTCTATTGGTACTGGGGATTGAACCCAGGGTCTTTTCACTGAGTGACATCCCCAGTCCTTTTTCATTTTTTATTTTGAGATAATGTCTCACTAAGTTGTTAAATTACCCAAGATGGAGTCAAACTTGTCAACTGCCTGCCTCAGCCTTCCAGAATGCTGGGGTTACAGATGTGCACCATTACATCTGGCCAAGAAGATCTTTGTTCAAAGAATACCTCGATCTTTTATAGATTTGCTAATTGCAGGTTCAGAGAAAGAGTCACAAATCAGGCCCATTTTTCTTAGATGGTCGTGAATTTTCTTAGCAAAAAGCACCTTCTTATTAATGTCCAAACCCTCAATAATGTCAGTATAACTTTAGGACAATTTCAGAATTAGTCAGAGTCCTGGCTAATGTAAAATTTCACTAGAACAACCAGAAATTAAATACTAGTGTAGATGGAGTTGCAAAAGCTTAGAAAGAAGGACTCACAAGAAGGCAGAACAATATTTGGAATCAGATCTTCATATACTGATGAATAGGGTACATCCAATTAAACTGAAATTAAGATTTTAAAGTGGTATCAGATATGACCTAGTCATTATAATAAAGGCTGTTTTTACTACCCTGTTTCTCCAAAAGTAAGACCTATCTGGAAAACTAACTCTAGCATTATTTTAGAAGAGACATACCCCAAAGATGAGCCCTATGGCAGAACGGTAGGAGTCAAGATTGACATGTGGCAGTCAGTGTGTATATGTTGTTTAAAAGCTACAGCACTGAGTTGGCGTGGTAGAGTATAAAGTAACAATGTGCTACTGATGAAAGTGTCAATAAAGCAGGTATTCACTTAGCAACCACCATATGACAGGTGCTTGGAAAACTCTTGTTTCATCTTTTAAAATTTTATTCTTTTTCTTATAATGCTTACAACAAAAGATGGGAAATCAATGGTCCCCAAGAGTAAACATTTCAATGCAGACACACAGAGGCAGGGACAGATGTCCCACTATCACTAGGAATCTGGTCCACCCAGGTGGAGGAAGGATATGGCTGGCTCCCTCAGACACACATCTCAAAACCAGAATAAAAGTGGAATAAAACCTCCCATGGATGAACTCAGCATTCCTGGCTGAAGACTGCATCTCTCTCAAGCTACTGAGGTTCGACCTGAGGGGACTAGAAGTTCAGATTAGAATGAATGAAAGAAGCACAATTGTATTACCCATCTATTGCTGTATAACTAATTTCCCCTAAATTTAGCAATTTTAAACAGTGAACAAGTGAGGCACAGTGGTGCATACTTATAATCCCAGCACTGTAGGAGGCTGAGGCGGGAGGATTGCAAGTTTGAGCCCAGCCCGAGCAACTCAGCAAGACCCCATCTCAAAATTTAAAAAGGGGCTGGGGCCATAGTCCATTTCAAAGACCTTGAGTTCAATCTCCAGGTCTTGCAAAACACCAAAATATAGATAACAACAACAACAGAACGGACTCCCTTACACAGTGTGAGGGACTCAGGGGTAGCAGCTGTGTGGGCCTGGCTGAGGAATTCTCATAGAGCTTAGTCGTCTCAAAGTTCCTGTGGGTCTGGGGGACAAACCTAGAAGCTCATGCACATGGCTGTTGTCTTAGGCCTGAGTTCCTTGTCATTTGCGTCTCTGTACAGGATACCTCAAGATGCTGTAGCTAGTTCTTGTTCTCCCTGAGCTGCGGTGATGAGAGAGAGTGACAGAGACTGATTTTATATAGGCTAACAACAGACTAACCCTGGCTTGCCGTGAGAGGGAACTCCGACCCTGAGGAGGTGGGCATCACTGGACACACCCTGGAGCCTGGCTACCTTGGCAACCATGATTCCACGATGCCCAGAGAGCAGGAGAATGGGTCCTGTAGGACAGATTTCCTGGGTTTCAGGAATTCAGGCTTTTGGAGGTTCCCGCGAAATCAGGGCAGAAGAGAATCCAAAGCAGAAGATGGCTCAAGAAAGCGGATCTCTTCTTGTTAAGATTCTGAATCTGCTTGTGCTAATGCTGCTGAAGAGAGCAAGAAAGGTGAGAATGGGTGTTGATGAAACCAGAGTGGCTACTAGGGAAATTCACTTTGCAGTACAGTTGGCAAAGGGGAGGAATGGGGATAAATGTAGTTGCAAAACCTAGTTTGTTAATTAGGTCTAATCAGTTAAGGTAGTAAAATTGTAAAGATACCAAAAAACAAAAAGAAGGAAGCTTTTCTTGTTTGTCACAAGCAGAAAAGCGAGAAAGGAAATGATTAGTGACAGTGTAAGTTGTCTTATGCCAAGGATTGCTGTGAAGCAAACTCTTACTGAGTGCCACCATGTACCAGGCAGGGTGCCGATACCGAGGTTACAAAGATAATTAAGAAAGGGTCACTGCTCTCGAGGATCGCCCAGTCCAATGGGAAGGCAAACATATCAACGCATGGCATTTGGCATGATCGAGACCATAGTGAGATTCAGTCCAGGTAGAACAGGAACATTAGGAAAGGCTCTGTCAGTACTACCTGGTGTGGGTGGGTCAGGGGAGGCTTGCAGCAGAGATTCCACTTAACACAGAGTTTCAAAGGAGAAGCAGGAATTTGCCAAGTGAACAACAGGAGAAAGGACAGACAAAGTAAGAATCACCCAGCTCAGAGGTGTGAGAGAGCATGTGGCCTCCGAGGAAGCTGCTAGTGATTTGTATGATCATAGTAAGGTGGAGAGTAATAGCGCAGACAGAGCATGGAGGCCACTTTGCAAAGAACTATTGGTGCCTGCACCAGGGATGTATGGATCACTGTTGCTCAAAGTAGGGTCCTACATCAGAATCATCTAGAGGCTTGTGGAAGTGCAGTTTCCTAAGCCCAACCCCACATCCACAATGGCAGAATCTTCAGCATAATCTTTTCTCTTTTTCCTGGGATATACTACATTTCCCATCATTCTTTGCAGCTAGACTACATTCCCCAGTGGCCTTTGCAGCTAGACTACATTTCCCACCATACTTTTCAGCTAGAATATAGTATTTCCTAGCCTCTTTCACAGTTAAGAACACCTATATGACTGAGTTCCAGCCAAAGAAATGTGAATTGAAGTAACCTGTGCCTTTGGCAGACCTGACCCTGATTCCTGTACCTTCTCCATGCCTTTATCCTTCTTTCCAATTTGCTGCAAACAAGCACAGGCATCTTGGAAGCCTCATGTTGAAGATGGCAGATCATCAAAATTGAGGAAAACCTGGGCCCCTGAGCTATTATTAGTTAGAGATAGCTGCCCACTGATCTGAAATATCCATTTTGGGACTTTATGAGACTGAGAAATAAGCTCTATCATTGAGCCACCATACATTTTTGGATTTGTCTTACCATCTAGTTTTCCAGTGCAGTGATTGACTCAAACTCTGGGAGACTTGGAGAACTGCCGT